TGGAAATATAGTACCCCTATGAGATCTGCCATTATTCTTGCAAAAGGAGAAAGAACAATGGCAGAATCTAACAATGCCTCTTACAGTGTCAGTTCAGTGTGTCCTGTGCCACTTCTATTCCTACTTCATAGGCCAAAGCAAGTCACATGGGAAGCCTGCTATCAATGAGCAAGGAAGGAAGTATTCTCTCCCTACAAGAGGCAGCCAAGCCATATGGCATCAGGTGGGAATGCACAATCATCCCCTTTCAGGGAGAACAGTGAATGATTGGGAACAATAATTTTACTCTCTCACAATTCCACTTCTCTCCTCTTTCATTCTCCAACTTCTGCAAGCTGTGTTTTTCATTTTACATTGTCAAGGTGGGAAATCTTTATATGCTCCTTTGTAGCTATTCTTAAGGAGTCTTCAGTGGTTTGCTGTTGGCTTTAGAAATTGAAAAGCACTGAGCAGTGTTTATATCATTATGACTAAGCAAATGTTCTTGACTGCAGAGTAAAAGAGCCCATATCCTGTACCACTGTTCCAATGACACAGACCTGTTCATTTAAGAATCTACCTTAAATTCTACCACTTATTGCAAATCAGGCCACATTTTGGACTGCTTCATGTTTGAGTTATGCCTTTCATAAAAATGTTTTTTCTGTTTTCCTGAAGTTTATGACTACCTTTCCTTTTTCCCTTTGTCAGAAGAAACATATGCCTTGTGTATCATAGCCCTAATATTTTCCTAATCCTTCCTCACTTTAATTATTGTTTGGCACCTTCCTATTATTTTTTGAAACCTATAACCTTCTGATCTCTTTGGGCAGTTTGCTTCACCTTGGAATCTTAATGATTTTGCATAGCTTTTTTATCTTTATTGCCTTATGGGTTTTGCTTTCTTTCTGTTTCTTATTGAAATCTTGATTTCTCGCAGTGTCCCAATAATAGTCTCTATTATATGGACTATTACCATCTCATGTCATCCTCAGAGAACCTCTTTCCTGGAACCTACCATCCTTCCACTGTAATGAAAACTCACTGCCCTTTAGGTTAATTTCATCATAGGGTGGCTTTTTTATGGCTTCCAGAAGTAGGGTTGAGAGGAGGCAAACCTGCTTGGTCCATGCATCCTCAGGCCTACTTCACTTATAGATAAAAGAAAGGCATTGGACCAGATGATCTCTAACGCCTGTTCCAGGAGTATAATTCTGTCAACATGTATTCATTTATAGCAAACTGTTTCAAGGAGAAATTTAAAATAGTTGCTGCTCTCGAGGAATTTACAATCTATGTAGCTAGGCAAAGAATGAACTCTCAGAACAGTAACACAAGGTCATCAATACAAAAGATGCCACAAGGTAGGCATGATTAATCATCTGTTTGAGTCTCAGGCCTAAAGGAAACAGACATAGAAGCTGAGTCAGCCTATGGTGCTCTTACTGGAGAAACAAGACTTTAATGGTGTCAACGAGTAAGCAGTGTATTAGGGATAGATTAAATGTTTGTGTAATATTGAACAGTAGATTAATGGCCAGCATCAGTGTGATGGAGTGGTTAATGGTCAGTCCTCCTTCCCACTTTCCCTGTCCCTATCTGAGTCATCAACATTTTTGTCTTTCCAAATCACAATAGATATAATTTTTAAATATGGAAGCACAGTTATAATCCTTCACTGACAAATTCTATGACCATTTTGGGGTATAGCAATTAATTTTCATTACATGCATGAAAAATGGCAAATATACATCTACACCTTCTATTGGACATGAAGATACTGGCAATAATCTTAATCAGCAGAATTTCAATAAACAGGGCTGGGGATCACTCTCTCACAATAGTCCATTTTAAGAAATTGTTTGTCATGTTCTAATGAGGAGTCAGATGACCATAAATTACCTCTCCTTCCCATGCACTTCTCAGGAGAGGAAACATCTCTTATGGTATGAACATTATCCTGATAAGCACTGTTGCTTGGATAGAGAAGAATCTGGGGAATTTTAAGGATGGGGCTTCTCCAAGGTCCTGAAGACTAGGTAGACCTGAGATACCTACATCAGAGAAAAAAAAAAAAAAGCCTATTCTCTCATCCAGTTGGCAAACAAGGAGAGGACTTTTAAGGAAGGAAGTTTCTAGAAAAATGAAGGAATCTTTGGGTCAGTGGTCTACATAGTTCCCAGGGAATGGGACTGTAGTGAGGATGGCAGATAGATAGATTTCCTCAGAAGGTTCTAACCCACCACTACTTCTGGAAGGTGCTCTCTCCAACCCTCAGGAGCAATTAATTGCTGCTAAAATACTCTGTTCCCTGCCCCCATAGCACTCAGCAAAGTTTTATCAATGTTCCTTAACAGTCCCGGACATCTTGACTGATTCATTCATTCTCATATGCCCCATTGCCTGGCATTTGGTGGATGTCTGTGTTGACCCAATGAATGAGTGAACCCATTGAAAGGAGCAGCATTTCATCAAAGAGCAGAAACCGCATGGATGTTCAGTTGTCACTGGATATTCCAATAAGGCAAGAGGACTTGGAGAAGATCTGGGCTAAGGAGAGGAATACCAAGAGCTGGGGCCAATTCAAACCATTCCTAGGCAGAGGTAGTCGGGGTGAGGGGGCCAGGAGAGGGGGACAAAACAAAACAAAACACCAACTACCTGCAAGATTTGCATGATCTGTTGAGGTCTCCCCACTACAGGTGGAGAGTTGAGCAGAAAGAACAGAAGTGATTAGAAGCAATGCAGCCACTGCTACAGCAACCCCCACCTGCAGATGGGAACAGGGCTCAGCTCTGCAGAAGAGCAAAAATAGCAGGATAGACCGACCATCTCTGGTCATGTTCCTATGCACCTGACCCTGGGCTTTAGGTAATCACATTTCATCCTCCCAACAATCTGGAGAGACAGGTGTCCCTGACTTACAGATAAGAAACACTACCAAGGGTCAGGGAGCTCACATTCTTTGTGGACAGGAGACAGGACCTGTGCACCCAAGAAACTATACTGTAGCAAAATGGGGGTGGGAAGAATGCCTGGGTTAAGTCACTGGAAATTCAGAAGTCTTTACACCCATGTCTCACCTGTTTCATTACTTTTGCAGTTTGCTTATTTCCCCTTTATTTTCTCCTGGCTTCTTAGAAAGTTGTGTGTGTACACATGTGTGTGTTTAATTAAAATCCCATGGGATTCTGATCTAACAAAGCCAACTGTGAAGGAACTGAAGCTGGAAGCTGGGAATACGTGTCAGGGTTGAGTTGAATGGATCCTGTCATTGAAGCTAGACTAAGGGTAGAAAAGGTACCTAGCCAGTGAGACCCAGCTGGGCATGCAAGGTGCATGGATGGGCAGCTGCTATCTCCTGTGGCAGGTCTCCCACAGGGGTGGTTCCCTGGGCAACAGGAACTTTTGCAACCACTCCCATCTGGCACCAATGCATTTGTTTCCTCAAAAGCCTATAGGGTGGCATTTACTTCACCACTTAAAAAAAAAAAAAGTAGAAATCAGATGCTTATGATCTTTACATTCTCCAGAGAGATGACAGGAGGTCTCTTTTTACTCCAGCAGGTAGAAATTTTTGACACAACTAAATTAGCATCAGCTTGCCTCCTGACAGTCTCTAAAGTACAAGAGGGGCTGGTCTGATGACACCGAATCGGGTCAAGGGGACGAAGTCAGGTTGCTGAAGGCATGTCTGAAGAGGGAAGCCCAACTAAAGACTACTCAACTTTCTGCTCAGGCAACACAGCCCCCTGGGGCACATATACAAATATGTGACAAGGGGAAAATGAACAGGTCCTCTGTGGGTGGGCATGTCCTTGGTGACCACTGCCCTGAGGTCCCTTCAAGCTGGCTAAGGGCAAGGCCGTGAGAAAGGCCAAAGTAAAACACAAAACCTCTTGGAGCTGACCTCAGCTCTTGGGAACTCAGATCCTTGTGCTGGCAACTGGCTAGCCGGAAAGGGGTAGGCTTTCTCCAGAGGTGAAAGCAATAGATGTCAGCCTCTCTCCCCCACCCCCAGCACCAGTGAGAGGGGTCACATCTCTGCACACAAGATCAGTGGCTAGTGGTCAAGTTGAAGGTGGGGGAGGAGGTATAGGCAGAGATTTGGGGTTGAGGGAAGGAGGGTCAGGGAAAAGGCTCATTCTCTACCTCTACTCATCCTGCATCACTACCTCTGTGATGGACCTCTGTTTTTAATATTTAGAGTATCAGTGTCACCAGAGCCCCTCCAGGCAGCCTGAATCCAACACAAACTTACATGGGCACGCTCTCCGCTTGCTGTGGATCACCTTTGGCCAGCCAGATACAGTCCAAACCCACATGCATCCAAACTAATAAAATCGCCCACCATCCTCTTGGCGCCCTGCGGGGGTGCTGGTACTCGGGATGGAGGTGGAAGAGACTGGTTAAAGAGCTCTCTCTCCACGAACGCAGAGGGGGTTGCAGAGTGACCCCTATACACTGCTTGCCTCCACTTCCCCTAGATCCGCCAACTCCTCAAAAGCCACCAAGTAAGCTCCAGAGCCCCTCCTGCTCTGGCATCACTCTCCTGGAAGGAATGGGCTTGCATAATATTTAGAATATCGATGACACCAGGGCCCTGTCAGGCAGCCAGACGGATTGCTAAATGGGTGCGCACAACGGAAAGGAGGGACAGAATTCCCGACGCCTGGACAGGAGCCTAGCCCGGAGCCCTGGGAGCCGTCGGGGCCACCGCCCGCGATCTCCAACGTTCCTCACAAAGTTTCTAGCTCTTCCAAGCCCAGTCACCTCGCCTGTGGATTGGAGACCTGGGAGTGACACCTCTCCTGCGGAGTGCCCCCTCTCCTGCGGAGTGCCCATTCCACACTCTTTTGCCACCTGCTAGCGGACACTGGGAGCACCGACTGGCGAGCGCGGGCGCAGCAGTTGCAGTCGGTGGGCGCCGCCGGAGTGTCTCCAGCTGCGCCCAGCCCCTTTCCCACCCGCCCTCCTGAGGCTGGCCCCGGGTCTCAGGGGTCACAGCTACCAAGTCTTACCCAGTCCTGGCACGAAAGTGTTGAGGAACAGGCAGATGACGGCCACGGGGAAGGGCATGTAGGGGATGGCGGCGCGCAGAGGGCCCTTCTTCTCGCGGACCTGAACCACCACCCCGCTCGACGAGGACGCCCCCCGGGGGTCTGCCGCTGCCACCGCCGCCGCCGCTGCTGCCGTCTCGGCGTCTTTATGCGAGGACTCCATGGCCAGGCACGCTTTCCGGGAGCCGGGCTACCGATGCCCGGGATGCCGCCCAGCGCACAGGAACAGGCGACCGCCGGCTTCGGGCTCCGTGTGCCGCTCGACTCCCGGAGAATTCCGCCCTCCCGCGTCCCCACACGCCTGGCCCTCTGCAGCTCGCTCCGCCGCGCTCCACACCCCCGGCGGAGGGCGGGGAGGGCAGCGTGACACTCTGTGACAGCGCTCCGACGCCCCTCCCTGCTGGGTCCCAACCCCGCCCCCCTTTTAACCCCTCTCCCCCCCAAACACATCACTCAAAAGGAATGAAAAAACAGGGCGAAGGGAAGAAAGTAGAAGAGGAACGCAAAGACAGCTGGCTGTCCACGTGGGATGAACACACCTCGCCCTCCCCGGACAGGTGAACCCCAAATCTCGCCCAAGGAACAGCACGAACTAGGCGTCCATGCTAAGCTGACACCGTTGGCAAAGGGTCAAGGTTGAGTGCCGTCCTCTAGGGGATGCATTTAACGCTAGGGCGAAGGGAGCACGGGATACGAAGCTCCTGGTACCTAATAACCCTCCGATTCGTTCTGACTTAAATGTATTTCAAGTCACGAAGAAAAAGCAATCCAGGGTTCCATGATAGAGCTGCCAGCAGAAGATACAGCTTTTCAAACACAGAGCCAGGTGTGTAGATCAGGAGACACTGATCTACACACCCACACCGACCACTGCCACCACCATCTCCACCGCCACCACCACACACTCTCGTCCACGCACTGACTCAAAAAGCGAAAAGAAATGCGCCTGCTGCAGAGGAGAGGTGCGGGTGTTGGGAAGCATCCCCTGGACTGTGCTGGCGGGGGTGGGCGAGGTGGGAGGGGGGTCACCACCACAGTCTTTTGTGTACTCGACGGAGTGAGGACACAGCGCCGTCTGGTGTTGACAATTTGGCAGTGAGATAAGCAAGATTTGGCGGTGTCCCAGACGGCAGCAGGAGACCCCCTATGGAATTTAATTTTCTCAATAATACCTCTTTCACTTCTGCATCTGGAAAGAGTAAATGGATGAAAGCAACCTCTTACATGAGGAAGATTCAAGGCTTCAGAATCATCCAGATATTCAGCAAATCGTCTAAATAATTGGAAAGAGACAAATCTACTTCCTTCCCTGTAATCCTCTTTTTTTTTTTCCAAGAATAATAGTGATTTATGCTAAATCGGTCCAGGAACTCAGAAGATGCTAAAAGCACTTGGATTATTTTATAAGTATCTGATAAATCATTTTAAAAGCAAATGGCCAGGGGTTAGTGGTGATATTAACACACACATAACTAGTTTAGGCCTGGCAGTAAAAAATGTTTTAGTTTCTGTTTAGCCACTAATTACCTGTATAGCTTAGAAGAACTCATTTAGCCTTTCCTGGGCTTGAGTTACTGCATTTGTAAAACTAAAGCAAGATTCTATTTAATACACATTTATGGAAAGCCTACTATGACTCAGGTTCTAGGGAAATAAAAAAAAAATGAATAAAATTCAGCCCCTGCCTTCAAGAATCAGTTAGATGAACTGAGGGACACTGACAACCACAGTGTTAGAATTACAGAGGCAGTGACAAATGCCAAGCTGTGACATGCTGAAAGTGCTGCAACAACATGGACCTGTCTGTGAAACCAGCCAGTATCGGGAGACATCAGAGGAGGTCTCTCCAAAAAAGTGACACTCAGCAGGCCCTGAACAAGAGTAAACAGATTTCTTTTATTTTAAACAAGCACTTATTTAGCCAAGCATTCTCTGCCAGGCACCATTCTAAACATCTTACACCCTTTAACTCATTTAATTCTTACCTCAACTCTATGAAGTATTATTTATTAGTCAATTTTACAGATCGGGAAAATAAAGCTCGGAGAAATTAAGTAGCCTGCACAGAGTCATCCACTTGAAGTGACAGAGCTGGGGTTTGAATGCGGGCAATCTGGGCTTTGGAATCCATTTGCATAACCATTATTTTATTCAAAGATCTAGATATTCTTTTGCAGGATACCTGGACTGTTTTAGAGCCACTTGATTTTTATTCCTGGAAAAAAAAAAAAGGATTTCAGAGAAAGAAATGAATTTGCATCCCACAATACCCAGACGATCTCATGAATATCTGGTCATCTTCCTGATACCCAGCCAGAGTAACAGCTCATAGGAGATCTGAAAGCCTAGGAAAGTAGCGAATATTCCAGGAATGCAGTACGGCTGGGACTAGGGCTGGGATGGGCAGGAACAGGAGCTGTATCTGATGAGGTGGGCAGGAGTTAAAGGAACTTGGACTTCATCCTGATGGAGATGAGGAAATCACTGAAACATTTTAAGCAAGGGAATGACATGAATGTTCCAGTTACTATTGCTATGTAACAAATTAGCCTCAAATTTAGCAGCTTAACACAACCATTTTATTTATGATCACAGTCTGTGGTCAGGAGATTGGCCAACCCACAGCTGAGACATTTCTTCCTTGCTTTGTGGTATCCAGAGCCTCAGCTGGGAACACTCAAATGGCTGGTGGCCTGAACAGCTGGGGTCACAGAATTCACTTCTAAAAGAATTTTCAGGTCTGGTAGCTGGACTGGGAGAACTTAAAAACTGGCTCAGCTGCAAAGCATATGACTTGGCTTTTTCCAATATGGCAGCTGGGTTCTGACAGAGAACTTCTTGAGAGGAGGTCTCCAGAGAATGAGCATTGCAGGGCCCGTGGAACCTGCATGGACTTTGCTGCCCTCACATCTTGTCACTGGCGAAAGGCTCTGATCAAAGAAGTCACAAGACTGCTTAAAGATAAGCCCACCTCTCAATGAAGGTGTGTTAAAGAAAGAGGACTCCAGGCTTTGAAACCAGCATGATAAGATGTATTGGTTGGGAAGAGCACTTGGCCTATAGTGAGAAGGATAGGTTTGTGGGGTGCCCACGTGGAGTCTGGATGGGAGAATTGTTCCCAACCTTCAAGGATTCAGAATAGGAGAAGACGCCCCAAATCATAACTGGTTATTATTAGCAGACAAAGAGAAAATGTTGAGTTTGAGGGGTCTGAAGACATACAAAGTGGGGGTGGGCAGGTCCTCGTTGATTAAATGACTAGCATAGATAATTGTCCAGATGGCTGCTGGCTATTTGATCAAACGGAGGCTCAGCCAAGCAATTTGGGTCACAGAGTTAGGAGGCATCGACATATGCTAATGATAGTTAAAGCCCCGTATGTAAATGTGGGGTAAGGGCAAAGAAAGTCACTAGAGGGTTCTGCAATTAAGCAGAAAGAAGGAAGAGGAAGGAAGCAGTTTAAATAGAGAAACATGTTTCCCAGAAGCCAAAATAGGAAGATTTCAAGGAGGATGCCGTCAGCAGTGGCAAATGCCACAAAAAGGTCACATAATCTCAAATACCCATTGGATTTGGCAGGTAGGGGGTTCAGCTCTCTGGGGTCTCCCCCACCGTGTCCATTTCCAAGGAATTCATCCATTTCATCCAAGTTGTTGGGTTTGTGACATTCAGTTCATCCTAAGACCTCTTGGGATCTTTCTAATATCTGTCAAATCTGCAGTGCAGCCCCCTCTCTCATACCTGATGTTGTTCCTCTGTACTTTTCTTTTTCTCTTGAATATGTGTGAAGCACTCAAAGTCTTGCAAGAGGTGTCTCAAGCATCTGTTTGACATCGTGACGATGGCTGACATTTGTAGGAGAGTTTATTTCATGTAAGAATAGACCTCCAAATAAAAGTTAAAAACCTTAAATCATAATCTTCAAAAAAATTAGACACAAACACAACAAGGGAAACAGATCAAACGATTGCTTCCATCAGCCAAATAATTCATCTAGGCCAAGCATTGGGTCTGGATGATAAAAATCTATTTTTTGGCCTTGTTCTGTCATCGGCTTGAATAAAGCACATCAGCTTTGGACTTCTCTTTTTACCTGGAAAAAAAAAAATTGCTTAAGTCAGCTTCCAACTGCATAAGGAAGTTGCATTCCAACTGGGATGACTTCCTTGGGCAAGGACTGGTACTGCGGCATGGGCAGTGGAAAGACAGACTTTGAAGCTCTGTGTCTTTGGACAAGTTTCATAACATCTCTGAATCTTAGTCCCTAAAACAGTAAATCATACCTGCCTCATTTGGGTATATGAGGGAATGAAGTGAGATAATCTGTGTGAAGCACTCAATAAATCAATGGCAATTGAATCAGAACCTTTTTTTACCCCAAGTGATAGAAACCCAACTCAATTTAGCTTATGGGGAGGGAAAAAAAAAAAAAAGAACAGGGACAGGGGACACATCTCGCTTTGAGATGTGTCAACTTGCCTAGGCCCCCAGAATTCCCTTTCTAAGTTGTTTTCATTTAGGAATCACTACAGGAAACATTTTCTCTCAATTGAAGTGGTCAGCAGCCATTTTGAGGTATACATACACCCTAAAGACCTTTGAGTCAAATTCTCTTTCAGGTGCTGTGGTGAAGGAATTATGCAGATGTGATTTAAACTCCCCAATCAGCTGACTTCAAGTTAATTAACAGGAGATAATCCTGGGTGAGCCTGACTTAAGCTCTTTAAAAGCAGGTTTAGGACTTCCCTGACAGAAACACTCCCAGTAGCTGCTGGGTCAACAATTGCAGTCCTGTGCCCCTGGATCCTTCTTCCAGCCTGCAACCTGTGGACACCATCAAGCTTCCATCCTTGCCATGGGTCCAGCCCACTTAGGGCTTTCACTTTACTGACTGCCTGCCCTAAGCAAGACCCTAATTGTGTAAGCTAATTCCATGTAAGAAATCCACCCTCTGTCTACCTATCAATTTACTATGCTTTGAATGCGTCCCCCCAATTTTGTGAGTTGGAAATGTAATCCCAAAGTTACACGTTAATGGTATTTGGAAGCTGGAATTTTGGGAGCTGATCAAGTCATGTGGACTCTAGTGGATGAATTTATTTGTGAGTTAGGGGTTGTTGTGGAAGTGGGTTTGTTATAAAACTAAGCTCTTTCTGGCTTGCTCCCTCACCAAGTGACGCCTTCCAGCATGTTATGATGTGACCTAAGGACCTCACCAGAAGCCGAACAAATGGTGGTGCCATGCTCTGGGACTTCCCAACCTCCAAAACTATGAGCCAAATAAACTTCTATTCTTTACAAGATAACCAGTCTCAGGCATTTTGCTATAGCAACAGAAAAGAGACTAAAACTCATCTA